CTAGAACAGAACTAGAATTGAACTAGAATTGAACTAGAACAGAACTAGAACAGAACTAGAACAGAACTAGAACTGAACTAGAACAGAACTAGAACTGAACTAGAACTGAACTAGAACTGAACTAGATCTGAACTAGAACTAAACTAGAACTGAACTAGAACTGAACTAGAACTGAACTAGAACTGAACTAGAACTGAACTAGAACTGAACTAGAACTGAACTAGAACTAGAACTGTACTGAACTAGAACTGAACTAGAACTGAACTAGAACTGTGCTTGAATAGAACTAAAACTAGAACCGAACCTATAGAAGATTTAGAACAGAACTGGAATTAAACTAGAACAAACTATAACCATATTATAACTGAACAGAACCAAACAAGAATTGATCAGTGATCTAATATACAGTTCTAATTTTCAATCCCTGTTTTTCTTTAATTACCGTATTATAGTAAAATTATTAACAATTATGATGTTAATATTATTTTCACTTCTCACTTTAGTTATTATTTCAATTATTTTATAATAAATTTATTTCACACTTCACATACATAAGTATGAATGATGAAAAATGTAAATACACATAAATTTTAACATAACAAGTATAAATAAATTTATACAAAATAACAACAAAACATATTTTAGTTTAATTATAAAATGCACACACAATAAAACAAGAACTTTTATTTAATATTTTAATTAATTAATGTTTTAATAGTAAATATGGTTAACAATAAATAATGACAAAAAATAATGACATTAAACTAAATAAAAGAGTTATAAAAATAAATTTATTAAAAAAATATATTTACAAAAACATGTCATTTAAAATAAACACCAACAACCAAATACCCACTTAAAACGAAATAAATATTAAGAAAAAATGTATTAAAGCAAAAACATAAAACTAGAAAAATAAACTGAATACTGCAAAATTTAGATAAATTTTAACAATTTTTTTTTATTTTTATCATAACTTTATACTTTTTATATATCTTTATTATCATTAAATATTTAAATTTAATTTTAACATTGGTCTGAAAATTACTCTACTTTTTTGGTAATTTTATATTTTGAGGTTTTTTCATTCCCCTAGAGAACATAAACTGACAAAAGGGATTTAATATACAAAATTGTAAAATAAAACATGCTGTGGTTTTTTAATAAAATTTATTAATTGTAATTTACAAATAAATAAAGAGAAAAATAAACATAAAAATTGGTAGTAGTGTTATTGGTTTCAACTTTATTTATTTGAGAGTAAAATTATTGATTTTATTTATTAAACAAAAAAATATTTACTGCAAACAATATAACAACAAAAAAGTACCCCCAGTTTATTTAAAAATATAATTGAAAATGACACTTTTGGTTTGGTAACATATGAATTACGTTTTAAGGGTTTAAATAAAATAATTAATTAAAAGGAAAAACAGGCAGAATGAGATGAAACATGAAAGTTTAATAGTTTACTAACTGAACTAAAACTAAAGTAGAACTGAACTAGAACTGAACTAGAACTGAACTAGAACTGAACTAGAGCTAAACTAGAGCTGAACTAGAACTGAACTAGAACTGAACTAGAACTGAACTAGAACTGAAGTAGAACTGAACTAGAACTGAACTAGAACTGAACTAGAACTGAACTAGAACTGAACTAGAACTGAACTAGAACTGAACTAGAACTGAACTAGAACTGAACTAGAACTGAACTAGAACTGAACTAGAACTGAACTAGAACTGAACTAGAACTGAACTAGAACTGAACTAGAACTGAACTAGAACTGAACTAGAACTGAACTAGAACTGAACTAGAACTGAACTAGAACTGAACTAGAACTGAACTAGAACTGAACTAGAACTGAACTAGAACTGAACTAGAACTGAACTAGAACTGAACTAGAACTGAACTAGAACTGAACTAGAACTGAACTAGAACTGAACTAGAACTGAACTAGAACTGAACTAGAACTGAACTAGAACTGAACTAGAACTGAACTAGAACTGAACTAGAACTGAACTAGAACTGAACTAGAACTGAACTAGAACTGAACTAGAACTGAACTAGAACTGAACTAGAACTAGAACTGAACTAGAACTGCACTAGAACTGAACTAGAACTGAACTAGAACTGAACTAGAACTAAACTAGAACAGAACTAGAACATAACTAGAACATAACTAGAAGATAACTAGAACTGAACTAGAGCAGAACTAGAACAGAACTAGAACTGAACTAGAGCAGAACTAGAACAGAACTAGAACAGATCTAGAACTGAACTAGAACTGAACTAGAACTGAACTAGAACTAAACTAGAACTGAACTAGAACTGAACTAGAACTGAACTAGAACTGAACTAGAACTGAACTGAACTGAACTAGAACTGAACTAGAACTGAACTAGAACTGAACTAGAACTGAACTAGAACTGAACTAGAACTGAACTAGAACTGAACTAGAACTGAACTAGAACTGAACTAGAACTGAACTAGAACTGAACTAGAACTGAACTAGAACTGAACTAGAACTGAACTAGAACTGAACTAGAACTGAACTAGAAATCAACTAGAACATAATATAAACTAGAAATTCTAGAGTGTTTCGATTATCTATAACGCTAAGGGTTGTATGTTCGATTCCCACTGAAGATAACTAATATAGTCCTCGTCGCTTTGCTTGATAAAGTCAGTACGAAAAGAATGTCTAATAGTAATTGTTATATAAATAGTAAATAAATATGTATTTACAAATAATATTTACTGCAACAAATTTCAAACTAAATATTGTTCCCTTCACACAAAAATTCGTTACTTTCGGCGGAAATTATTTTCCTTTTCCCTTTTGTGTTTCACCAGCTAAAAGCTAAAAATTGACAAAATCTACTCAACATTTATACTAAAATTCAAATTTGTCTTTAACCACATAAAGCTTCAAAACGAAAAACAATAGCAGTTGAAAAAATGACATGCAAAAAAAAACATTTTTAATTTCCGTTTGAAAAACCAATGACTATTTGATTAAAATGATAATAATAATAATAATGATTTTGATACATTTTTGTTATAGTTATTTTTATATATTTTCAAATAACCAAAGCAGTTTTAAATAAAAATTAGAAAATTTTATGCTTAACAATAATAAAAAGTGACAAATGAAAACGTGTACAAATAAACCATAATTTTTCCATAAAAATGTTAATATGTTTTGAGGTTTAAATAATTTATTTATTATAATATTAGGAAATTCATATCAAGCTAAATTATGTAGATTTTAATTATATACTTTGTATGATAATATTATGCAAACACCTGTTTTCGATTTAATTAGTTGTTGAATTTTTTGTTTTCGGATAATTTAATTATGATGGGAGACTATAATCACATCAAATAAATAATAATAAACATATTATGTAGTATATAAACATTTATACTTAACGTAATTTAGAAGCCAGTTTAACAGTTTTAAAATCAAAAGAAATTTACCTGCAAAGAGATGAAAGGATAATATAGAAATTAGTTTTTGTTTATGAAAACTTTTACAATTTTGTTTATGAAAAATTTGGCAAAACAAAAAACTACAACTGAACTAAAACTGAACTAGAACTGGACTAGAACTGAACTAGAACTGAACTGAACTAGAACTAGAACTGAACAAGAACAGAACTAGAACTGAACTAGAACTGAACTAGAACTGAAGTAGAACTGAACTAGAACTGAACTAGAACTGAACTAGAACTGAACTAGAACTGAACTAGAACTGAACTAGAACTGAACTAGAACTGAACTAGAACTGAACTAGAACTGAACTAGAACTGAACTAGAACTGAACTAGAACTGAACTAGAACTGAATTAGAACTGAATTAGAACTGAACTAGATCTGAACTAGAACTGAACTAGAACTGAACTAGAACTGAACTAGAACTAAACTGGAACTGAACTAGAACTGAACTAGAACTGAACTAGAACTGAACTAGAACTAAACTAGAACTGAACTAGAACTGAACTAGAACTGAACTAGAACTGAACTAGAACTGAACTAGAACTGAACTAGAACTGAACTAGAACTGAAGTAGAACTGAACTAGAACTGAACTAGAACTGAACTAGAACTGAACTAGAACTGAACTAGAACTGAACTAGAACTGAACTAGAACTGAACTAGAACTGAACTAGAACTGAACTAGAACTGAACTAGAACTGAACTAGAACTGAACTAGAACTGAACTAGAACTGAACTAGAACTGAACTAGAACTGAACTAGAACTGAACTAGATCTGAACTGAACTAAAACTGAACTAGAACTGAACTAGAACTGAACTAGAACTGGACTAGAACTGAACTAGAACTGAACTAGAACTGAACTAGAACTGAACTAGAACTGAACTAACTGAACTGAACTAGAACTGAACTAGAACTGAACTAGAACTGAACTAGAACTGAACTAGAAATGAACTAGAACTGAACTAGAACTGAACTAGAACTGAACTAGAACTGAACTAGAACTGAACTAGAACTGAACTAGAACTGAACTAGAACTGAACTAGAACTGAACTAGAACTGAACTAGAACTAAACTAGAACTGAACTAGAACTGAACTAGAACTGAACTAGAACTGAACTAGAACTGAACTAGAACTGAACTAGAACTGAACTAGAACTGAACTAGAACTGAACTAGAACTGAAATAAAACTGAACTAGAACTGAAATAAAACTGAACTAGAACTGAAATAGAACTGAACTGTAACTGAACTAGAATCATAACTGTTCTCTAGTCTTGAATATAGTAGAACACTCTAGGCTACTCGGCCAAACTATGAATCATTTTGAATTGTAAAATTGTGTATATTACCACTTATTTCTTTCAGTGTTCGCTTGCATTTCCCCTTTGTTTTAAAATCCCAATCTAATCAGTTAAAATCAGTTTAGATTTCAACTAATTTATATTTTTAGCTTATCATGACAAAACGTCATTAGTTAAAACAATTTTTAAAATACAAATTTCTTATTCAAACAATAATCTTTATTGCAGTTAGAGATTACTTGCAAAATAAAATAGAAAATATTATAATAAGGTAAATAATAAAACGGTGAAACCCCTTTTATTACAAACTTAAATTAAGTTACAATTTTCTTAAAATTACGAAATCCATTTGGCAGTAAATTATAGATGGAGGTGCATAAAACATTATCGGTAGGAAGATTTTCCAATTCACCATTAGTTTGATTAGCTGTGGCATCATTTTCTGGGCTAATTTGTACAGCCTTGGCCACATAAAGAGGAATATCACCATCAGCAAATTCCATAATAAACTGACGACAAACACCACAAGGGGTAGTGAAAGCATCCTCCTGATAGGCCACCACAGCAGCGGCAGTGAACTCTCTGACGCCCTCACTAACAGCCTTACAAATGGCGGTACGTTCTGCACAGGAAGAGGGACTAAAGGCGGCATTCTCTACATTACAACCATTGAAAATGCGGCCACATTTAGAGCGAAAAGCGGCACCAACTTTGAAATTACTATAGGGTACATAGGCATTGAGGCGTACTTTATTAGCTGATCTTAAGAGTTCCTTAACCGAGTCATCTGTATATAGAATAGTTATTTTTGATTAGTTTTCTTTGGAACTTGGGAAAATTTTAGGTAAAACTTACCTAATTCCTGATATTGTTGTATGGTCTCCGTTATATCAGCCTTTTTTAAACCGGTCACTGTAGTGGTATCCATTTTGTTTTTCCTTATTTTTTTTTAATAAATTACTTTTTTTAATTTTATATAAAAAAATGTTTATTTAAGTTTGTAGTTTAGAGGTCGTTTTTACGTTGTCTCGCGTACCTCTCACAGACCGTTCAGAAATAGACTGACGACTGTCACTAGAACTCAATAAGTGGCCATAATTTTTGTGGTTGTTTGTCAACATTAACACGGAGCTGGTTTATTATCACAACAACAATAATAGAAACAAAGAAAACAATTTATTAATTTGTTAAAAATTTCTTAGTTTGTTGTGGGTTCTCTCAAGAGTTTTTTTTTTTAAATAATAATAGAGAAAAATTGTTTTGAAATGAGTAAAAAACTAACAGAATTACGAAAAACCCACCCTCTTATGAAACACCCCCGATTACCATAATCAGCTAACGCTCTATCAGTCACATAGTGGTTTTTTTGTAAGAGAAAAGAGAGCTAAAAACATGAGGGAAATAGAGAGTAAGAGCAACCACTATTTTGTTAGAGCCAAACAAGATCATTTGAAAACAAATTCAACATATGTTTGGTTTTAGTGATGTCAATCAACTTTGGTTTTTTTAGTATTAAAGAATTATGGAATGAAAAACTCATTCGTCTTTTTTTAAAATTTGTGTTTATTTTTATTTAAATTTAAGTTTTCATAACCTTGAACTAAAAAGGCCATTTGCCTTAAAAAAACTTGGAAAATTTAAAATGATTTATTTCTATTTTGAAAACTAAATTTAGCAAAAGTTAAAGAATAAATAAAATTAAAAACTTATAAAAATAAACAAAAATTTACCTCCAAAAAATTATTAAAAATTTCAGCAACAAAATATATATTTATGCTTTCCAAACAAAATTTCAACTCTTCAGAATAAGAGTTTTTAATATTAGAAAAATGGTTTGAAAAACAAGAGAACTACAACACTCTCTTCCACCCACCATTTCACCACTATTAAAAACACCGCAAAAATTCACCACACCAGCAAGGTGTCGATAAGAAACAGCTGTTTCTATGTGTTTTGGGACAACAAACAGCTGTTAATCATACTATCAATCAATCACCACAGAATGAGTTCTTTTATTTTAATTTATTTTTATTCACAAACATTTATTAACTGATTTTCTTCAAAGATTGCATATTAATCAGGGGAAAAACAAGAACAAAAAAATTTACCTTTACTTAGTTTATTAATAAAACAACTGAAAAAATTATTGATAAAAAATTTAAAACACAGAAAACCACTTTATAATAAACGAAGCCACCAAGATTTGTCTGTTATTTATATTTTATAAAATTGTTGTTTTTATGGTGTTTTTCGCAATAACAATTGATAAGAGCAGGGATGGAAAATTCAGCACATAGCTAAATTTTTATTAATTTTTTTACAGTTTAAACTGGACTATAATCTGTAATCTATAAAACCATGAAGTATAATCTAGTTTTAACAGGACTACAGTCTAATATATATTCTAGACTAAGGTCTACAGACTAAAGTCAGTATAGAATATTGCAGTAGTCTATAGTATAATCTATGGTCTGGAGTAAAGTATAGTATGGTGTATAGACTGGATCTAATTTTAATCTATAGTTTGGACCAAAGTCATATCTATTGTTTGGAATAAAGTCTACTTCATAGTCTGGACTAAAATCTTTTCTATAGTCTGAACTAAAGTCTAGCCTATACTCTTGACTAATGTCTAGCCTGTAGTCTAGACCAAAGACCGGCATGTAGTCTCGACTAAAGTCTACTTTGTAGTCTGGACTAAAGTCTATTCTATGGTCTAGTCCATGGTCTAGTCTATAGTCTAGTCTAAAGTCTAATCTATAGTGTAGTCTATAGTCTAGTCTATAGTCTCGTCTATAGTCTAGTCTATAGTCTAGTCTATAGTCTAGTCTATAGTCTAGTCTATAGTCTAGTCTATAGTCTAGTCTATAGTCTAGTCTATAGTCTAGTCTATAGTCTAGTCTATAGTCTAGTCTATAGTCTAGTCTATAGTCTAGTCTATAGTCTAGTCTATAGTCTAGTCTATAGTCTAGTCTATAGTCTAGTCTATAGTCTAGTCTATAGTATAGTCTATAGTCTAGTCTATAGTCTAGTCTATAGTATAGTCTATAGTCTAGTCTATAGTCTAGTCTATAGTCTAGTCTAGTCTAGTCTAGTCTATAGTCTAGTCTATAGTCTAGTCTATAGTCTAGTCTATAGTCTAGTCTATAGTCTAGTCTATAGTCTAGTCTAGTCTAGTCTAGTCTAGTCTATAGTCTATTCTATAGTCTAGTCTATAGTCTAGTCTATAGTCTAGTCTATAGTATAGTCTATAGTCTAGTCTATAGTCTAGTCTATAGTCTAGTCTATAGTATAGTCTATAGTCTAGTCTATAGTCTATACTATAGACTAGACTATAGACTAGTCTATACTATAGACTAGACTATAGACTAGACTATAGACTAAACTATAGACTAGACTATAGACGAGACTATAGACTAGACTATAGATTAGACTATAGACTAGACTATAGACTATACTCTTGACTAATGTCTAGCCTGTAGTCTAGACTAAAGACCGGCATGTAGTCTCGACTAAAGTCTACTTTGTAGTCTGGACTAAAGTCTATTCTATGGTCTAGTCCATGGTCTAGTCCATAGTCTAGTCTATAGTCTAGTCTAAAGTCTAATGTATAGTGTAGTCTATAGTCTAGTCTATAGTCTAATCTATAGTCTAGTCTATAGTCTCGTCTATAGTCTAGTCTATAGTATAGTCTATAGTCTAGTCTATAGTCTAGTCTATAGTCTAGTCTATAGTCTAGTCTATAGTCTAGTCTATAGTCTAGTCTATAGTCTAGTATATAGTCTAGTCTATAGTCTAGTCTATAGTCTAGTCTATAGTCTAGTCTATAGTCTAGTCTATAGTCTAGTCTATAGTCTAGTCTATAGTCTAGTCTACAGTCTAGTCTATAGTCTAGTCTATAGTCTAGTCTATAGTCTAGTCTATAGTCTAGTCTATAGTCTAGTCTATAGTCTAGTCTATAGTCTAGTCTATAGTCTAGTCTATAGTCTAGTCTATAGTCTAGTCTATAGTCTAGTCTATGGTCTAGTCTAGTCTAAAGTCTAGTCTAAAGTCTAGTCTATAGTCTAGTCTAAAGTCTAGTCTAAAGTCTAGTATATAGTCTTGTCTATAGTCTTGTCTATAGTCTAGTCTATAGTCTAGTCTATAGTCTAGTCTATAGTCTAGTCTATAGTCTAGTCTATAGTCTAGTCTATAGTCTAGTCTATAGTCTAGTCTATAGTCTAGTCTATAGTCTAGTCTATAGTCTAGTCTATAGTCTAGTCTATAGTCTAGTCTATAGTCTAGTCTATAGTCTAGTCTATAGTCTAGTCTATAGTCTAGTCTATAGTCCAGTCTATAGTCTAGTCTATAGTCTAGTCTATAGTCTAGTCTATAGTCTAGTCTCTAGTCTAGTCTATAGTCTAGTCTATAGTCTAGTCTATAGTCTAGTCTATAGTCTAGTCTATAGTCTAGTCTATAGTCTAGTCTATAGTCTAGTCTATAGTCTAGTCTATAGTCTAGTCTATAGTCTAGTCTATAGTCTAGTCTATAGTCTAGTCTATAGTCTAGTCTATAGTCTAGTCTATAGTCTAGTCTATAGTCTCGTCTATAGTCTAGTCTATAGTCTAGTCTATAGTCTAGTCTATAGTCTAGTATAGTCTAGTCTATTGTCTAGTCTATAGTCTAGTCTATAGTCTAGTCTATAGTTTAGTCTATAGTATAGTCTATAGTCTAGTCTATAGTCTAGTCTATAGTCTAGTCTATAGTATAGTCTATAGTCTAGTCTATAGTCTAGTCTATAGTCCAGTCTATAGTATAGTCTATAGTCTAGTCTATAGTCTAGTCTATAGTCTAGTCTATAGTCTAGTCTATAGTCTAGTCTATAGTCTAGTCTATAGTCTAGTCTATAGTCTAGTCTATAGTCTAGTCTATAGTCTAGTCTATAGTCTAGTCTATAGTCTAGTTTATAGTCTAGTTTATAGTCTAGTCTATGGTCTAGTTTATAGTCTAGTCGAGATTTAAATTTCCATATCTGAATGCAAGTTTTAAAAAGTGTAGCCACCTTAAAATGACGCACGTCAACACACAGTTGGGTGAGAAAGAGAGTAGCAGTAGGCAGGGAAAGAGATTAAGACCATTCCAAACAATTAATTGACATTTAATTGACAGTTTGAGAAGGAAATAATTTGAATTTAAAAAGGGTAGTAAGTGTTGAAAAGCTGGGAAATTTAAACAAAATAAAAATTACATTAGAAATGTAGTAAATCAATAATTGTGTATTTTAATACAAATTTTGAAAGGTTTAAATTTTATTAAATTTTTTTTTTTAATTTTTTTTTACCCACGATATTTTTCCTTTCACTTAAATGTAACACAGCATGTCACTATTCCTACTGCTGCTGCTATGAAGCAAAAATTGCTGTTTTCATTATCAGTTGCAAAAATTTCAAATGAAACAGTTTTGTAGGCGATTATATTTTTTTTTTTTTAATTTTTTTGATCTATAATAAGTTGCACAATATATTTTTTTTGTTTTTAAAAATTTTACTTGTTGTAGTAGTAGTTTTAATTGCTGCAGCTGCATGATGCTCGGTAGTGGTGATGGGGCTAGCGAATAATCGATAGCAATTTATATGGAACAACAAAACTATTAATGATGATAATTTGCCATGAAATGTAGAGATGTATTTTATTAGAAACAAACCAAAATTGAAGTTGGAAAGTTAATTTTAAGAACAAAAAGGAAAGTGGGTTGAGTTTTAAATAGTTTTTTTTTTTTTTTTAATAAAAATTAATTGCTATATTTTAACTTAAATAGTTTTCTTGTAGTTTTCTTTTATTTTCCCAAAATAGGTCCTTCGAACCTTTAATTAATTGAGTTTTAAGCTTGTGCTAAAGTTTGATAGAAAATTTCTTAAAGATTTAGTTCCTTTATCATGCAGTTTTAAAGATTTTGAATAATTTAAAGGAAACATATTAAATTTAAAATCTGGTTCGAAGGACCAAATTTAAAAATGGTTTAATAAAGTCAGTATTTAAGAGACAATTTAGTAATGGTAGCAGTTCTGTGCAAATTTTGCTCCAAGTTCTTGTTCTAGAACATAATGCCCAAGTTC